TCTCATTAAGTCTCACGTCCCCATTAATCCAATTATGACACCGAAACATCCATTAGCATGCTCATCAACCGATTAATTATTATATTCATTCATCTATCTCCTCAGCCTTCACAAACCTCACATACTAACACACACCAACACGTGCTTCCATTCAACTCCCGGTAGTACAGTCGGGTTCATCCTCGACCTGCATACGGAAATTCCGGTTTCCAATCTCAGGCGGGACAGAAGTGACTGGGCGCGTTTCCTAAAACTTGACGACCGTGTTTTTCTATCAGTAAATATTTATCTCAGGAGTTAGTCAGCATGTTGTGGGGTTGCGTCCTGGGGGAGTGACAGTAGTTAAACCTATTGGGGGGGGGGTGTGAGGGGCTCCTTATATGACTTAAATGTATATACACACTGGCTGCTTGTCACACGAAATAATGAACTATTATTATTATTATTATTATTATTATTATTATTATCTAATGAATACAGGCCCACACACTAACACAAGAACACACCCTCATACAAACACACACCTCAACACACAAATACACACTCACACATGAAACTGAGAAGGAGAGAGGATAGGTACACAGAGAATGGCAAGGAGGTGAGTGAAGAACTCAACAATATATTCCAGGAGGTTCAGGAGGTCTTCACAATAGCGCAAGGAGATGACCCTGAACTAAGAGGGGTGTTGAACTGAGGCTATTGGAACTAGGATGATAAAAGAAGGCGCAAAAGCACTTTGCATGCCACTCTCCATGGTGCTCAATAAATAACTGGAAACAGGAGACCAACTAGAAAGATGGAAGACAGCTAAAGTAGTCCCAGTATACATAAAGGGTGATAGGTAGGTGACTCTAAACTACAGGCCGGCGTCCTTAGCTTGTATACCATGCAAGGTGTTGGAGAAGAGCATGAGGACAAAAGCTTGTAGCACATCTGGAGAGAAGGGAAATTTAACACACCACCAGCATGAGTTCAAGAATGCTAAAATCATGCCTCGCAGGCTTAATGGAATTGTATAATCAAGCAATAGGCATTAAGCAGGAAAAAGTAAGGTGGGCACACTGCATTTTCTAGAACTGTTAGAAAGCTTCTGATAAAGTATTCTATAAGAGGCTGTTGCATAAGTTGGAGAAACAGACTGGAGAACTGTAAGGTGCTCCAGTGGATAAGGGAGTATCTAAACAACAGAAAGCAGAGAGTTAATGTGAAGCGTGAGACCTATGAATGGAGTGAAGTCACCAGCTGAGTCCTATAGGATTCCGTACTCTTACCCATGATGTTTCTGGTATACGTAAATATTCTTCCAAAGGGTTTAGACTAATTCCTCTCAATTTTAGCTGATGATGGTAACATGATAATTTGAATTAAAAACAAAAACAAAATGATTTTAAGTTAACAAAATGATAATTTGGAGAAGGATTAAGACAGGAAAACCACATGAGTTTTCAAGATGGCCCGGACAGACTGAAGGAATGGTCCAACGATGGAGTTGATATCAAATCAGACCTGTCCCCTTAACCCCATATTAAAAATTTATCATCAGCAGCATATGCAAGGCTGACAAAGAATTGCCTTTAGAAACTTGTGTAAGGAATCATTCAAAACCATATATGTCAGTCCATTACTGGAGTATACGGCTCCATTGTGAGTGCATATCTCTAGTCAAACACAAAATCAAGTTAGAAAAGGTTCATAGGTATGCCACCAGGCTAGATCTCTGAAGGGTATGAGCTACGAGGAAAGACTACAGAAACTGAACCTCACGACACTGGAAGCGAGAAAAGCTAGGGAAGACAAGATAACCACACATAAAATTCTCAGAGGAATTAAGGTAGACAAACTATTTAGCACGGGTGCTGCACGAGCAAGAGGACACAGCTGGAAACGTAGCACCCAAATGAGCCACAGGGACGTTAGAAAGAACTTTTTTAGTGTCAGGGTTGTTAAAAATTTAATGCATTAGGACGTTATGTGGGGGAGGAGGATTCCATACACAGTTTCACATGTAGATATAAAAAGACCCCAATAGGCTCAGGAATCTGTACACCAGTTGATTGACAATTGAGAGGTGGGACCAGAGAGCTTAAACTTAAGCTTAAACCGAAGCTTAAAACCCCCCGAAAGCACAACTAGGTGAGTACTCACCAGTACACACTCAAAGGGCACATACATATACTCAGAAATGCGATACTCCCGCCCACATCAGAAAGCCCTTACTCACATATGTCTAATACATACACCCATATATATAGACAAACATTCATATACGTCCACACACTGCCAACCATCGCCAAACACACAGATACATTACCATAGATCCTACCCCACACGCACTCAACCAAATAACCTATCCTCATCTTCCCCACACTCCAACAACCTCACACACGCTCTCACAAACCACAACATTTAATACACACTACCACTTGATGAGGGAGAATGTGGGATGCTGTGGTGTGGAAGTGTAGGATGCTGTGGTGTGGAAGTGTAGGATGCTGTGGTGTGTAAGAGTGTAGGATGCTGTGGTGTGGAAGAGTGTGGGATGCTGTGGTGTGGAAGAGTGTAGGATGCTGTGGTGTGGAAGAGTGTAGGATGCTGTGGTGTGGAAGAGTGTAGGATGCTGTGATCAGGGAGAGATGCTGTGATCAGGGAGAGTGTGGGATGCTGTGATCAGGGAGAGTGTTGGATGCTATGATCAGGGAGAGAGTGGGATGCTGTGAGAGTGTGGGATGCTGTGATCAGGGAGAGTGTGGGATGCTGTGATCAAGTAGTGTGGGATGCTGTGATCAGGGAGAGTGTAGGATGCTGTGATCAGGGAGAGTGAAGGATGCGGTGATCAGGGAGAGTGTGGGATGCTGTGATCAGGGAGAGTGTGGGATGCTGTGATCAGGGAGAGTGAGGGATGCTGTGATCAGGGAGAGTGAAGGATGCTGTGATCAGGGTGAGTGAAGGATGCTGTGATCAGGGAGAGTAGGATGCTGTGATCAGGGAGAGTGAAGGATGCTGTGATCAGGGAGAGTGTAGGATGCTGTGATCAGGGAGAGTGTAGGATGCTGTGATCAGGGAGAGTGGGATACTGTGATCAGGGAGAGTGTGGGATGCTGTGATCAGGGAGAGAGTGGGATGCTGTGATCAGAGAGAGTGTGGGATGCTGTGATCAGGGCGTGTGGGATGCTGTGATCAGGGAGAGTGTGGGATGCTGTGATCAGGGAGAGTGTGGGATGCTGTGATCAGGGAGAGTGTAGGATGCTGTGATCAGGGAGAGTGAAGGATGCTGTGATCAGGGAGAGTGTGGGATGCTGTGATCAGGGAGAGTGTGGGATGCTGTGAGAGTATGGGATGCTGTGATCAGGGAGAGTGTGGGATGCTGTGATCAGGGAGAGTGAAGGATGCTCTGTTCAGGGAGAGTGTAGGATGCTGTGATCAGAGAGATTGTGGGAGGCTGTGATCAAGGAGAGAGTGGGATGCTGTGAACAGGGTGAGTGTGGGATGCTGTGATTAGAGAGATTGTGGGAGGCTGTGATCAAGGAGAGAGTGGGATGCTGTGAACAGGTTGAGTGTGGGATGCTGTGATCAGGGAGAGAGTGGGATGCTGTGATCAGGAAGAGTGTGGGATGCTGTGATCGGGGAGAGAGTGGGATGCTGTGATCAGGGAGATTGTGGGATGCTGTGATCAGGGAGATTGTGGGATGCTGTGATCAGGGAGATTGTGGGATGCTGTGATCAGGGAGAGAGTGGGATGCTCTGATCAGGGAGTGTGTGGGATGCTGTGAGAGTGGGATGCTGTGATCAGGGAGAGAGTGGGATGCTGTGATCAAGGAGAGTGTGGGATGCTGTGAACAGGGAGAGTGTGAGATGCTGTGATCAGGGAGAGAGTGGGATGCTGTGATCAGGGAGAGAGTGGGATGCTGTGAGAGTGTGGGATGCTGTGATCAGGGAGAGAGTGGAATGCTGTGAACAGGGAGAGTGTGGGATGCTGTGATCAGGGAGAGAGTGGGATGCTGTGAACAGGGAGAGTGTGAGATGCTGTGATCAGGAAGAGTGTGAGATGCTCTGATCAGGGAGAGTGTGGGATGCTGTGATCAGGGCGAGTGTGGGATGCTGTGATCAGGGAAAGTGTGGGATGCTGTGATCAGGGAGAGTGTGGGATGCTGTGATCAGGGAGAGTGTGGGATGCTCTCGCTGCTATTCACACACCCCTCCAAAGCATTCTCTCTATTCCTTCCACAAGTACATTCACTAACACAGCCAACTTCACACACAGATACCTGAGGCCTGGGGACCTGATAGCTGAGTAAACAGCGCACTGGACTCGTAATACTAGTATCCGGGTTCGATCCCCGGTGAGGGTAGAAAAAAATGGGCAGAGTTTCTTTTACCCTGATGCCCCTGTTACCTAGCAGTAAATAGGTCCCTGAGAGTTGAACAGCTATTACGGCCTGCTTCCTGTGCGTGTGAAAAAAATAGTTGTTAGTAACAGTTGATTGACAGTTGAGAGACGGTCCGAAAGAGCAGAGCTCAACCCCCGCAAGCACAACTAGGTGAATACAACTAGGTGAATACACACGTTATGACCAATAAGTACTCTGATCTCCACCGAATAACACACATCGATCCTTTCAATACTCAACACTCCCATCACTACACAAACCCACACACACGCAATTAAAAACTGACCCCATACCTATCCACCACATACCCAGTTACAACACACCCATCCACACGTAATTCAATACTCCCATCCTCACATATCCATCCTCTATATTCCCATCCACCCATCCACTCACAATCCAACACTCCCATCACCACAAATCCATCCACCACATACCCATCCACCACATACCCATCTACACACACAATCCAACGCTCCTAGCTCCAAACAATCCCACAGGCTCGACCCTCCGCTGATGGATGAGGATGATGAGCTTCACAATGTTACGCAATTATTTAGCTGGAATTACTTGCTCTGTGTGATGCCTGAGAGGTCGATGGTGCAGCGTTGGTCATGAAGTACAGCACACGAGTGTTGGATGCTGTGATGAGTGAGGGATGCTGTGATGAGTGTGGGATGCTGTGATGAGTGTGGGATGCTGTGATGAGTGTGGGATGCTGTGATGAGTGTGGGATGCTGTGATGAGTGTGGGATGCTGTGATGAGTGTGGGATGCTGCGATGAGTGGGGGATGCTGTGATGAGTGAGGGATGCTGTGATGAGTGTGGGATGCTGTGATGAGCGAGGGATGCTGTGATGAGCGAGGGATGCTGTGATGAGCGAGGGATGCTGTGATGAGCGAGGGATGCTGTGATGAGTGAGGGATGCTGTGACGAGTGAGGGATGCTGTGACGAGTGTGGGATGCTGTGACGAGTGTGGGATGCTGTGACGAGTGTGGGATGCTGTGACGAGTGTGGGATGCTGTGACGAGTGTGGGATGCTGTGACGAGTGTGGGATGCTGTGACGAGTGTGGGATGCTGTGATGAGTGAGGGATGCTGTGATGAGTGTGGGATGCTGTGATGAGTGTGGGATGCGGTGATGAGTGTGGGATGCGGTGATGAGTGAGGGATGCTGTGATGAGTGAGGGATGCTGTGATGAGCGAGGGATGCTGTGATGAGTGTGGGATGCTGTGATGAGTGTGATCCTGTGATGAGTGTGTGATGCTGTGATGAGTGTGGGATGCTGTGATGAGTGTGGGATGCTGCGATGAGTGTGGGATGTTGTGATGAGTGAGGGATGCTGTGATGAGTGAGGGATGCTGTGATGAGTGAGGGATGCTGTGATGAGTGTGGGATGCTGTGATGAGTGTGGGATGCTGTGATGAGTGTGGGATGCTGTGATGAGCGAGGGATGATGTGATGAGTGTGGGATGCTGTGATGAGTGTGGGATGATGTGACGAGTGTGGGATGCTGTGACGAGTGTGGGATGCTGTGATGAGTGAGGGATGCTGTGATGAGTGTGGGATGCTGTGATGAGTGTGGGATGCGGTGATGAGTGTGGGATGCTGTGATGAGTGTGGGATGCTGTGATGAGTGTGGGATGCTGTGATGAGTGAGGGATGCTGTGATGAGTGAGGGATGCTGCAATGAGTGTGGGATGCTGCGATGAGTGTGGGATGCTGCGATGAGTGTGGGATGCTGTGATGAGTGAGGGATGCTGTGATGAGTGTGGGATGCTGTGATGAGCGAGGGATGCTGCGATGGAGTGGGATGCTGCGATGAGTGGGATGCTGCGATGAGTGTGGGATGCTGCGATGAGTGTGGGATGCTGCGATGAGTGTGGGATGCTGCGATGAGTGAGGGATGCTGTGATGAGTGTGGGATGCTGTGATGAGTGTGGGATGCTGTGATGAGTGAGGGATGCTTCGATGGAGTGGGATGCTGCGATGAGTGTGGGATGCTGTGATGAGTGAAGAATGCTGCGATGGAGTGGGATGCTGCGATGGAGTGGGATGCTGCGATGAGTGTGGGATGCTGTGATGAATTGGATGCTGTGATTAGTGTGGGATGCTGCGATGAGTGGGATGCTGCGAAGAGTGGGATGCTGCGATGAGTGAGATGCTGCGATGAGTGTGGGATGCTGTGATGAGTGTGGGATGCTGCGATGAGTGAGGGATGCTGTGATGAGTGTGGGATGCTGTGATGAGTGTGGGATGCTGTGATGAGTGTGGGATGCTGTGATGAGTGTGGGATGCTGTGATGAGTGTGGGATGCTGCGATGAGTGTGGGATGCTGCGATGAGTGAGGGATGCTGTGATGAGTGTGAGATGCTGCGATGGAGTGGGATGCTGTGATGAGTGTGGGATGCTTCGAAGGAGTGGGATGCTGCGATGAGTGTGGGATGCTGCGATGAGTATGGGATGCTGCGATGAGTTAGGGATGCTGTGATGAGAGTGGGATGGTGTGATGAGTGTGGGATGCTGTGATGAGTATGGGATGCTGCGATAAGTGTGGGATGCTGCGATGAGTATGGGATGCTGCGATGAGTGAGGGATGCTGCGATGGAGTGGGATGCTGCGATGAGTGTGGGATGCTGTGATGAGTGTGGGATGCTGTGATGAGTGTGGGATGCTACGATGAGAGAGTTTGGGATGCTGTGATGAGTGTGGGATGCTACGATGAGTGTGGGATGCTGTGATGAGAGAGAGAGATGCTGCGATCAGAGACAGTGTGCGAAGCTGTGATGAGGGTGAGTGAGGGATACCTCGGTATGGGTTGAAGTCATGACTTGCACCTGACTTCAGTTGTTGAATTCACCTTATGGAGAGTTGCGCCAATCGTCAGCCTCACTCTCTCTCCCCGACCTATGTGGGTCCAGCAGCCAGACAAGTGGAGACGGCGGGAGACATGTTAGGGTGTTGTGGATGGCCAGCAGTGTTCCGCGGGTATCACGGCGCCATAGTTGTGCTCCACAACGCTACGCTGCTCCGCCTCCTGCCCCGTGAACCACACTGGTGGAGGCCTCCGCGAGCACACACACACACACACACACACACACACACACACACACACAATAATTCACAATAGAACAAGGGAATTGATAGGGTAGATAAAGACAGGCTATTTAACACAAGGGGCACACGCACAAGGGGACACAGGTGGAAACTGAGCGCTCAAATGAGCCACAGAGATATTATAAAGAACTTTTTTAATGTCAGAGTGGTTGACAAATGGAATGCATTAGGAAGTGATGTGGTGGAGGCTGACTCCATACACAGTTTCAAGTGTAGATATGATAGAACCCAATAGGCTCAGGAATCTGTACACCTGTTGATTGACGGTTGAGAGACGGGACCAAAGAGCCAGAGCTCAACCCCCGCAAACACAACTAGGTGAGTACAACTAGGTGAGTACACACACACACAGAAGATATAGAGATAGAGATAGATATTATATATAAGAGATATAAGACAGAGAAGTATGCAAAGAATGACAAGAGGTGTGTGAAGAACTCAACAAGAGGTTCCAGGAGGTCTTCATAATAGAACAAGGTGAGGTCACTGTGCTAAGAGAAAGGGAAGTAAACCAGGCGGCCTTGGAAGGGTTCGAAATTATGAGAAAGGAGGTCAAGAGACACCTGCTGGATCTGGATGTTAGAAAAGCTGTTGGTCCAGACGGGATCTCACTATGGGTACTGAAAGAGTGTGCAGAGGCACTTTGGTTGCCACTCTCCAGAGTGTATAATAGGTCATTGGAGACGGGAGACCTACCAGAAATATGGAAGACGGCGAATGTGGTCCCAATATACAAAAAGGGCGACAAGCAAAAAGCACTGAACTACAGGCCAGTGTTCTTGACTTGTATACCATGCAAAGTGATGGAGAAGATCGTGAGAAAAAACCTAGTAACACATCTGGAGAGAAGGGAGATCGTGACAAATCGCCAACATGGGTTCAGAGAAGATAAATCTTGCCAGACTGGCTTAATAGAATTCTACGACCAGGTGACAAAGATTAAGGAAGAATGAGAAGGCTGGGCAGACTGCATTTTCTTGGATTTTCGGAAAGCCTTTGACACAGTACCACATAAGAGGCTGGTACATAAGCTGGAGAGACTGGCAGGTGTAGCTGGTAAGGTGCTCCAGTGGATAAGGGAGTACCTAAGCAATAGGAAGCAGAGAGTTACGGTGAAGGGTGAGATTTCAGGTTGGCGTGAAGTCACCAGTGGAGTCCCAGAGGGCTCTGTACTCGGCCCTATCTTGTTTCTGATATATGTAAATTATATCCAGGAGGGTATAGATTCATTTCTTTCAATGTTTGCTGACGATGCCAAAATTATGCGAAGGATTAAGACAGAGGAGGACTGCTTGAGGCTTCAAGAAGACCTAGATAAGCTGAAGCAATGGTCGAACAAATGGTTGTTAGAGTTTAACCCAAGCAAATGTAATGTAATGAAGATAGGTGTAGGGAGCAGGAGGCCAGATACTAGGTATCATCTGGGAGATGAAATTCTTCAAGAGCCTGAGAGAGAAAAAGACTTGGGGGTTGACATCACGCCAGACCTGTCCCCTGCAGCCCCTATCAAAAGGATAACATCAGCGGCATATGCCAGGCTGGCCAACATAAGAACGGCATTCAGAAACTTGTGTAAGGAATCATTCAGAACTTTATATACCACATATGTCAGGCCAATCCTGGAGTATGCAGCTCCAGCATGGAGTCCATATCTAGTAAAGTATAAGACTAAACTGGAAAAGGTTCAAAGGTTTGCCACCAGACTAGTATCCGAGCTGAGAGGTATGAGCTTCGAGGAGAGACTACTGGAATTAAACCTTACTTCGCTGGAAGACAGAAGAGTTAGGGGGGACATGATCACCACATTCAAGATTCTCGAGGGAACTGATAGGGTAGATAAAGACAGGCTATTTAACACAAGGGGCACACGCACTAGAGGACACAGGTGAAAACTGAGTGCCCAAATGAGCCACAGAGATATTAGAAAGAACTTTTTTAGTGTCAGTGTGGTTGACAAATGGACTGCATTAGGAAGTGATGTGGAGGAGGTTGACTCCATACACAGTTTCAGGTGTAGATATGATAGAGCCCAATAGGTTCAGGAACCTGTACACCTGTTGATTGACGGTTGAGAGGCGGGATCAAAGAGCCAGAGCTCAACTCCCGCAAGCATAATTAGGTGAGTACACACACACACACACGCACGCACGCGCGCGCGCGCGACCTTTCCGCGTGTGCGCGCTCCTCTCACAGCACATACACACCGCCCTCTGAAATTTATCGAGGATAGAGCCCAGCTCCTGGTCTCCAACCCACCTACAGACAGCAAGACAATCTACTTTATAGATAAAGATGGGACAGGCGTGAACAGCCTGCATCCACAAGTTCATTCCTGGTAACACCAATGTTACTGAGTACCCCATAAAAATTAAAGCGTCTTAAATCTACTAAAGAATAGAAACATCCAGTTAGGGATTAGGTCACCACATAATTGGATGGGTTAAAAGATTTTTGAGCTATAAGAACATTGCAAGAGTTAACCTCAATAACAAAGAAGCTTCGGGGCATAGAAAGCAGCTGGCGGAGAACATGCAAAATCCCATACAGGTCCTCCATAAAAATGCTAATCTAAGGAAAAAGGCTGCAAAAATATAGGTACGATCAGGAAAATCCACGGAGTAGCCAACACCGTCGGCAGACTTCGACCAATCTGTGAGCAAGGAAGTAGAGCATGAACGGCATAAAAAAAATGTTAAATGAAAGGTAATTCCATAACAGACGGATGGATAAATGATAGCGACCCTCCAGGGAGGCAAGCTTGTAACAAAACAAGGGGGAACATGCAGATGAGTACCGAGAGAGAAACTTGCCATACGTGCAGTAAAATAAAGAAGAGGAAACATGGTGTAATTGGAAGGGGTAGTAGTTGATGTACGGTACAAGCAGGAATGGGGAAGTTGTATGACCATGCAATGTACCAGAGGCAGTAATGACTGTGACGCCTCTTTAGAGATGGATCACCGATTTCAACAGTTAAGTTCGAGACTGGGGATAAACAGAGTGGACCAGAGTAGAGATGAAACCTCGTATGATGCAGAACATGAAGATGACTCATGGGAGAAACCAAAGCATATACTGGGCAGCCATACTCTAATTCAGGCAGCACATGCGAGGAGAGCAAATACAGGAGTGTGTTCCTATTAACCGACCATGAAGAATAGGGACAAGAATTTAAGTTAAAGAACAGTGGAGTTTTCAAGTCATAATTAAGTAACTTGGGATAACCAAGACTTATGGGTGTCAAATATAATTTCTATGAGTTAGCGCTATCCCAATACATCAGGGAAGTTCCATTGAGCAACAATGGATGACGAGGAATAACATGCTTTCAAATAACAGGTCGTAGCATGAGTCTTAGCTGTAGTAAACTTGAATAAATGATTCGTAGCCAAGGATTGCACGTGATTGATTATAAACTGAAGTTGGCATTGAAGCAGCGAGAAATCATCTCCATGACAGTGAAGTGCGAGGTCACTCGCATGAAGAAAAAGGAACACTCTAGAGAGAAGAGAGAAAGGGAAACCATTTAGAGCTACCGTAAAATGAGTAATGCTTAAAATACTACTGTTGGTAACACCCTCAAACTGTCCAAAAGTACCAGAGAAAGCAATACCACCTTCAAGCCTCACCTTCAATACATGACGAGAAATGAAGCTCCGAAGGAAAAGAAGGAGTCTTCCATGAAGGCGAAAAGAATGCAGTTTGGCAAATATATTATACCTGCAGGTACTGCCATAAGGCATTATCAGGTAGAAAAGAACAGCCACAACTGCGACTTTTGTAGTGGAGGTCATACAAATGAAAACGTCCCAGTTTGCCAAGACATCATATCATTCATGCTGGGAAGCTTGTCAAACCAAATTTAGAGGGGACAGATGACATTGATGTTCTAAAAATCACATAAGATGGTCAAAACCATGCCTTAAAAAAACTTACAGATGGAACCCGTAAGGGCAATTGGGAGAAAATTGGTAGTGGAGGTACCTTAAGTACTGGGTTTCTTAATAGGAAGAAGAAGAACTGCTTCGAGTCAAATCTTGTGAACATATGCTGGCTGCCAAGTGTAGATAAAGAGACGCAATATATGATGTTAGGTGTAAAATCGTAGATGGCAGAACATCTCGTAGCAGAGGAACGTTCCACGTACCCGTAAAGAAAAACGAAAACAAAATATTATAACAAAGTAGTTAAATAGCTCTTTAAATACATCATCAATCTAGCAACACTCCAACAAAAATTAATAAAATCTGATGAGTAGAACGTAAGAATCAAAGAAACTGCAGAAGGCCAATTGGCCCCTTCGAGGCAGCTCCTATTTATAGTCACCCAAACTTATTCATATTATATATATATATATATATATATATATATATATATATATATATATATATATATATATATATATATATATATATATATATATATATATATGTCTAACCTTCGCTGTATCCTGTAAAGGTTATGTCTAACCTTCGCTGTATCCTGTAAAGGTTATGTCTAACCTTCGCTGTATCCTGTAAAGGTTATGTCTAACCTTCGCTGTATCCTGTAAAAGATACAGCGACTATTATGTTACGCGGGAATTGGTTCATATGGAAGGTTTCTAATTTGAGGAACT